GCGGGGGGGGGGGGGGCAGGACTTGCGGCCCCAGCCCCCGCCGGCCTGACTTCCAGCCTCCAACCCCGGCCCTGCCCGCTTCGGCTCCCCTCCGGTCCCCCGGCCCCTTGCCTCCCTCGTGGTCTCTGTTGTCTGCCCCGCGCCTCATCCTGGCTCAGGGTGACGCCTGATACGCCCTTGATTACTGGGGGACTAAAGGGACAGGGAGTGCAGCGGTAATCGATTGTCCACCTCTCCCCACGTCCGGAGTTTCCGAGAGCGCCCTCCATCGTGGAATTGCCCATAAGCTTTACAACAGGTCTTTGCCCATAGACCACCCCCTCCCTCCCAAAACAACCTCTCAAAAGAAGAGGGAAGAAGTTTCCAGAAATCCAGGAGGGTGGCCTTGGATCTTGGCCGGGTGGAAGCCGTGGTCCTGCCCTTGGCCAGTCAAGCCTTCCTCCCTGGGATGGGACCAACTCTGGGGAGGCATTCTTGCAGGGGAAGAATGGTGGCCCCGGAGAACTGAGGCCGGGCCCAAGGCGGGAACTGGGTCGGCGGCTTTCATATACACAAGGTTTCTCAGGCCCTATGCCTGGCCTCTCTACCCCTTGGAGGATTTCTGGACTTCACTGCTCTGCGTCCGGAGAAGACTGGGCTGGTCCTACCAACGCAAACAACAGGCTAGACCAGGTAACGGCCCCCTGCACCAGGCAGCTGCCCAAGACTGTGCCCGGGCACCTGGCACCCCCACAAGACTCCTCACCCACCCCATCTCTCTGCAGACAGATGTGTGTGGTTCCCCACTAGGTTCCCCCAACCGGGACCAAGATGGGGCCTCCAAAGGAGGTAAGGAGAACCTTTGGCAGGTGCTTGAGGACACTGACTACCCAGGAAGTGGACACAGGAGGGATGCCCCCCCCAATTTGGGGCTCGTCACAGGGGAAGGGTCCTGACAGCCTTGTGTTCTCATAGCAAGCTGAGGAAGGAGAGTGTGTTAACCCCACAGTGGGAGTGCGCCCCGCCCAGGTGTCCCACAACAAGGCCACAAAAAGCCCAAAGATCTATGTGTCACCAACTGATCATTGTAAATAAAGTGGACCTGCTTTTTCATCCTTGTCACCACTCCTGTGTTGTGTTTGATGCCAGGCCCGCTGGGGACAAAAAGACTATCATCAGTACCCCAAGGGACAGGAGAAGTGGCCCTCTTAAGCAGCCAGAGCCAACCCTGCAGGATTGGGGAGGAGGGGCTGCTTCCAGGAAGCTGTTCCCTTAATGTCAGGGAAGGAGACACTAGCAGGTGTGAGGTCGTACCTGCCAAGCCTTGGAGGAGCGTCAGCTGTCTGTCTGGGCCGCCCAGGACGTGTCTGCCTGGGCACTCGCATGCGAGTGTCCCTGAGACATTTGGCAGGGAGGGGGCACTGGGCTGGGGACTTGCCATCGGCCACACGTCTCTGAGAAGATTCCTATGTATGTCAAAGCATGTGATATATATATACTGCATCTCCCCGGGGACGAAAGTGGGGCTAGGTCGTAAAGGAGAGGGGCGGGGAGCCCATTTTTCCTTCAGGGGAGCTCGAGACGTCTGTCCAGACGTCTATGACAGTGCGAGTCTTGAGCTTGGATATCTTCTTTATTCCTGTGCTGAGCCGGGCACTGATCCCAGACTTCTCCAGAGCCCAGACAAGTGGCCTCTGCAGCGGCCAGCAGTCAGGACGGTCCTGTTTCCTGGAGCTACTGGAACAGAGGGTCCCACAGCCACTTCACCCGGCAGAACCCAGGCCGGGTCGGGGGACTTTGAAGGGGAAGCTGGGGTTGACGCCACATGTTGGGGAAGAGGGTACCCTGCACGTTCATTGCCTCCCTCTCACGCACGGGCAGGGGTTTTGTTGGTGTTTCTCCCCATTTGCAGGAAGGGCAGAGGAAGCGGGAAGAATGTCGGACCTGGGAGACCAGGATGGGCTGCGGGTGAGGCAGCCGCTGGTGTTTGAGGCAACCTCACCCAGAAACAAGGTCACATGCGTGCCCTGTTTAGTCAGACTCAAGCGGCAGATGCTTACTCGGCACTTGTGTTGGGACAGGCACTGAGCTGGGCACTGGGGGTCCAGGAGTCCCTCCCCTGTGGCCCTTTACGGTCTCAGGTGAGATGCACGTGATTAAAGGAACCATTGCCGTGTGATAATTCTCGGGTATGTTCTCAGCCTGAGCTCCTACTCCACTTTTCTCTGGCGGCCTCCCCAAACACACACCCACACACCCTTCCTTCCCTCCTCCACAATACACCTGGGTTGAGGAGACCAGGGTGAGGGGACTCTGCCTCCTTACCAGCTGTGTGGCGTTGGGCGACTCACTCAGCCTCTCTGAGCCTCACCTTTATCAACAGTAAAATAGGGACACTATCCACCTCCCAGGCTAATTGTAAGAAGGAAATAGGATCCCATCTGAAAACGCGTTGGTAAACGATAAGACACATGTGGAGAACAACCATTCTACCCGGAGGGCCCTTCTCTTCAGATTAAGACTTCAGTGTGTTTCCCCACAGCCCCACGCCACCCCTGGCAGCAGGGATCATAAGCCGTCTTCCCGGCCTCGTCTCCGCTTTCGATGCGTGTGGTGGAGGAAGGACCCAGGGCAACTTCTGTCCATCATCGGATTGTGTCTGAGCCACAGCACAGCACCGGCTGCCCCCAGGCCACAGAGAGGGATCTCTCTGGGGCTGCTCCAGCCACCAGACCCCAGGCAGCCTCACCACCAAGAGAGGGAGACCACTCCCACCTCCATCCCCGCACTGACCTTGGCTTTCTCCCTGGTCTCAGGCACAAGATGGAGAAGAAACTTGAACCACTAGTCAAGCTGTCTGGTGCCCCTACATTACCTCTCCTGCTGGTTTCAGATCCCCCACCCGTGAAATGCAAATTGAGCGGGTTGGGCCAGTGGTGTTCAAACCGTGTTCCCCTGATTCCCCGGGGGTGCCCAGGGAGCTGCTGTGGGGAGTGATGGGGAGACAGAATGGGGAGCCCCCCCCCACAACCTACTTTAACTGAAGCAGCTTATCTGTTTTCTCTTTGGGGGTTTCTGGGATCCCATTTGAATAAGGGCGTCCTCCCGATTTGTCTTGCTTAAGTTTAAATCGCTGGGTGACACGCTCCATAACCTCCCCTTCCAGGCCTGACGCTGCAAGTGTCTAAGGCCCCTGGGGCTGGTGAGGCCTGAGGAGTAATTCTGGTGCGTGTCAGTGCGACAGTGGGGAGGCTTTCCAAGAACACACAGCCGAGGGCTGTGTGGGAAGTGTATCTCAGCTAGACCCCTCTTCACTTCCCCGCCCCCTTCAGTACCTGGACCGTGGTGGGGCAGAGAGTGGTGCTCAATACTAATTTGTTGAATGAGTGCATGAATGAGTGAGCCAGATGGAAGGCCCATCACGGGATAGGGAACCAAGTGGGTGGAGAAGCATTCCTTCTGCCAAGCTTCTGCCTGGAGATGCTGACGGAGAACTATATCCTCAGATGCCCTGTTCAGATGGATGGCTATTCTTGGGGGGGAAATCAGCAGTCTGAGATGGGACCAGTGGAGGAAACTGAAGCCTCCGTCCATGGAGTGTGCTCCAAGCTCCAAAGCCTCAGGACTAGATCTGCTCTGTGGACTAGACCAGCACCCAGCACAGGACTGGCACTCACCATACCAGCTCCTGGTGGTGACCAGCCACCCTCCAGGCATGCTGGCTGGGCAGCAGGAAGACCATCCCGATAGCTGCAGACTCTGATTTAACACACAGGCAGTTAGGGGCGCCTGGGTGGCTCAGTCAGTTAAGCGTCCGACTTCAGCTCAGGTCACGATCTCACGGTCCGTGAGTTCGAGCCCCGCGTCAGGCTCTGGGCTGATGGCTCAGAGCCTGGAGCCTCCTTCCGATTCTGTGTCTCCCTCTCTCTCTGCCCCTCCCCTGTTCATGCTCTGTCTCTCTCTGTCTCAAAAATAAATAAACGTTAACACACAGGCAGTTAAACCTGGCCTTGGGCGTCAGACACACCCGAATACCAGTCCCAGGGCTGCCTTTTGATGTCCGTAAAACTTTGGGCAGGTTTCTGAAAGCTTCTGGAGCCTTGGTTTCCCATCTGTAAAAACAGGGATAGATGAGTCTGGGTCTTCTACGGTTGTTAGAATGATGTAAGGCACTGCGTTGGGGTAATTTACTTAGCACAGGGTGCCTGATGTACCCAGGAAGTGGTAGCTGATGCTATTCCGGTTATTATTAGCATTTCAGCTGACACTGCTAACCGACAGCGTTGGGCTGAGAGCAGGTGCCTGGTCTCTGAGACACTAAACATGTTGCTTATTCACACCCCAGGTTGGCTCTCCACCTAAAGTCCTGTCATTCAACTACAGCTTGTCTCATTTTTATCTCCAGTTATTCAACTAACATAAGCCTGATCACCTTCACACTACATTAATATCTTATGCTTTTTGTATATCCCTTTCTTTTTGCCTTAGCTCCCAGCACAATGCCAGGCACACAGCAAAGCACTATGAGGTGAGAGAGAGAGAGAGAGAGAGAGAGAGAGAGAAAGGAAGAAAGGAAGGAAGGGAGGAAGGAAGAAAGAAAAAGTGAATGGTTGTTGC